CATGCTAGTATATTGTGATGGGGATGATTGTGAGGTTGTTTGTCATCAGGGTAAATAAAGAATTTTGTTTCATTTACGCGTGCTTTCACACGATATTAAAAAAAACTCAATTTGTCAATTATATTTACAATTAAGAATGTTACGGAATCGTGCATTTACCAGCTACTGATGAACCTTGGTATTGTGATAAATGTTTGGCAAAGCCTGGTGAAACTGTGGTATGCATAATGTTTAATGATATGTGTATATAGCATATATTTCAAAATGTCACCTTAATAATGATTTAACTACGAATAGACATGCGCGCTTTGCCCTAAACAAAGTGGTGCATTTCGTAGAATGAAGGATGGTGATAAGGCTGGGACTTGGGTTCACCTCGTATGTGCTCTCTGGATGCCTGGCATGTGGATTGGGAAAACAGCAGAAATGAGCGAGATTACAATAGAAATAATTGATCAAAAAAATTGGAACAAGGTGATTATGTTGTTTAAAATAAAGGCGGACTCATTTCAATGAAAAAAAAAAAAGTAATTATAAATCGTTAACAATTTTTTTTTTTTAGCCATGTTGTGTATGTGGTCCGGGTGATTCACAAGAAGGCGCTACTGTTCATTGCGACGCAGGGGAATGTAAGTCGTGGCTTCATGTTACATGTGCACAATCATTAAATCTTTTAGAATGTGTTGAAGAAGATCCAGAAATTTCAGATCCTTATTTTGTGGTACATATTAAAAATTTTAATTTTCTAAATAAGCTTATTTACTACAATATCTTCTTATTCGCGTATAACTGATCTCAATAATTTCAAAAAGTATTGTCCTCAGCACGGTTCTCATGGACCACCAAGACTCAATGAATGGGAAAGGTGGTACCGAAAACGAGATAAATTTCTTGAACAAGTGAGAAAGGAAGAAAGCACTGCACGATTAAAGCGTATTAAATCATATCCTGACAGTGGCACTGGTCTTCTTGAAATATTTGAAGACAGGTATGCCAAATACCGTGGACGAAGAGAACAACGTATAGCTAGATGTAGAAGAAAGATAGCTCAAATGAATTCTCAAATTCAAGGACTCGGAGAGCAAAAGGATAAATATGAAAATCAAACTAAAGACTATGCGAATAAGATAACAAATTTAAAAAAAGAAAATGCTGCTATTGAAAAATATTTGGAACAAGTAAATGAAAGTTTACTTATCTTATCGAAATCAATGATAAATCTTCCAAATAATTCGGCGCTTAATGCCGCTCAGAGTAGTTCAAAGGTTTGTCCTTCAGTTATCGATAATCCTGCAGTTAATTCTATATTGAAATTTCTTGAAACAACGCCTGAAGTGCAGTGGACAGATCAATCAAAAGATATTGCGCAAAAGATCCAGATTAACAAACTTGATACTAGTTGTGTAACCTCTTTAGGCATTAAATCGATACAGCAAATAGTATCACAGAGGGAAAAGGAGCAAAAAGTTAAAAAGACTAAGAAGGGAAAAAGACGAAGTACTAATAGTAGAAATTCGACATCCGGATCTTCTAAAAAAAAGGATAAAAAACCTGCTGATACTCGATCTGACAATACTGCTACTAGAAGCGTACAAGATGTTCCTAGTCCCACGGCAAAGAAAAAACAAAGAGGACGTCCTGCTAAGAGCAAAATTAATGACTCTAAGAAAAAAAGTAAAGCTTCTAACAATTATCCAGAGAATACGGATTCAGTAAATGGTAATAATAGTATTACTAGCTTTGATTCAATGCAAGGTGTCCAAGATACCAGTTTTGTCGATATAATCGATGCAGTTGGAGATAGACAGACAAATGGTGACACTTCTCTTAAAAGTGAAAATTTTGCTAGCAGTATTTTTACTAGTCCCGCTTCGAACATTTATACAAATGGCGTAGATGTTGGAAAATTTCCATTTAATGTTAATAAAATTACAAGCATTGCCACTCTCCTAAATCCAGTAGAAAACATCGAGAATAGCAGCAATCTTAATATAGTTGATAACAATCAGAACATTATCTTTGGTACAAATAATCTTGCCAATAGATTAGCCAAATGTGCAGATGGATTTGCCACCAGTAATGCAGGCGTCAATGTCAATACGATCAATGATCTGTTTAACTCCAATAGGATTGGAAATATTGGTGGATCATCAATAAACGGCAGTTTCATTAATTCGACACCTGCAATGTTTGCTAATGGCCAACTTAGCGTTAATTCAGTATCACGAAATGGTGGCAATCTTGCTAATTCTATTGCTACTTCCTTTGTTAATGGAGCTATCGCTGGTCCTTCTACCGGTGGTAGTGGTATAGGGCAATATCCACAAATGAAAGGAATATTGAATCCTCTTCATGTGACATCGGTTCCTGGAGGGTTTGCTACTTCACCCACAAATGATACTGTCGCTAAAATTTCATATCTTACATCTAGTATTGTACCTTCTACTGTTCCGCTATTTACGGCTACTCCTACACCTGCTGGTTTTTTCACCACTACACCTGTTGCTCACGAAGCTTCACCATCGAAAAGACGAAAAGTAGAAGAAGAAAATAATCAAGAAACTCAACTAGATGGCGAAAAACGTCGAAAAACTTCAAAAGGAAAGCGGCCATCTAAAAAAGCTTCAGAACAATCAGAAGAAACTGTTACGGAAGATGTGCCGGAGCGCCCACAAATTCCTCAACCCATTTGTGCGGTTTGCAATCTTGTACCTCCGCCTTCAACTGACCAACCATCTGCAACTTATATTACCCCTACTAAAGCAAGAAATTCAATGTTGTTAAAAGGGAGGGATAAAGTCCATCGTATGATTCGATGCAATTTCTGCAAAAAATGGTACCATTTGGCGTGCATGAATCCTGCACGACGTACCATGCCGACTGGGTACGCATTTTCTTTTTTTTTTTTTTTTTTTAGTATTAATAATATTAATAATATTTATTACATTCCTATAAATATTAGTGGTTATGTCTGGAGATGTGAAGACTGCGATCCTGGTAGCGATGCCTCTGATGACAGTTCTCCAGAAAATGAACGTCCGCCAAGTCCTAGGGTACCTGCGGAGACCAACGAGGATCAGGGTGATGGCTCTTCACAATCTACGGAAAAGGGTAAATCGAAAAAAGACGTAGTCGTGACAAGAAAATGGAAATTACGATCTGCGAATAAGCATTAAATATAATATTCATAGGTATAAATGGACTATATTGCTGTTAACAGCATGTCACTTTTATAATTTTTACTTATTAATCTGCAGATTATGAATTTCAGATGTGAATTATCAACATGATTAGCATGGAGATCATATTTTGCATAAGATACGGCGCAAGTATCATTCATGTATAAATTTTATAAAAATTAAGTATATGCTTGAAGTATAATAAATTTTGTTTAGAAGCGTAACCATAAGATTCGTAAAATTTGTAAATTTTAGTTGTATAATAAGTCTAATTCTTTGGGTATTTTAATATTTATTAGTGTGGTTTACATTGTTCTATTTATTTATTATAAAAAGTTATTAATTTAATATTCAAAATGTAATTATTGATAAATTTAATAAGTTTGGATTTTCTGCTTACCAAACGGCGGTGTTAATATAAAGATATTTTATAAATAATATTGTACAATAAAGCCATAATAGGTTTAAAATTTTTAAATATTTTTACAAAAGCTATATATAGTATTTTTTTAAAAATAATTAAATTTTTTAAGCAACATTACAAAGTTGTAAGCTTATATTTACTAAAATATAATATTTAAAATTTAAAAGTATTTTTTTAAATTTTAAGTATTTGTTAAATATAAAATTTTATATTAAATATTTAATTTTTAAATACTTATAATAAATATTTATAACTATATTTTAATATATCTTAGCCCCAATATACGGTATATTTATTAATTATTTAAAAAATATTTATATACTAGCAATTTTGTCTCTGTTTATTTAAGATTAAACTATTCAAAAAATTTATATAAATTATAAATTTTTATCTATAGTTGTTACTAATTTAACCAAACAGAAAGCTTACTTGATTTTTACTCTGGTGTAATCTGCCTTAGTAACTATTGGTCTTTTTTCGGGTTTCAAATTTACTAGAAACTTTTTTTTTATAGTTGATAGTTAGCATTATATATCTTGTTAAAACTAATTGTATTTCAAACTCACAGTATAATGGCAGTGATGTACATAGAACATTTTGAAACAGTGTTTAAACATTTTGGAATATTTTGACAAAAAATAAAGCCAATTTATTCAAAATTTTATTATAATAATCTGTTTTAATCTCCTAAGTAAAGTTGTAGAACATTAGACGGAATATATAATTATATATTTTTTATAAAAATATTTTAAATAGTTAAAGCTAAAATTAATATTCAGATCTTGGATATTTTCAAAAAAGTGGTGGGACAGTCAAAATGTATATCAATGGTATAATAGTACTTTGGCTATGATATAAATATTATATTATATACAGTATATTCTATTTTATTATTTTTATTTACTTTATTTTTTATTTTTTTATTTTTTTTTCTTGTTTTGACAATCTTGCTAGTATTTTTATTAGATTAAAGCATATATAAAGATATACTCAAACTATCTAAGTTATAAATCCAATATTACTTGGTTTTCTCTATAGGCGTTCAAGTATAGTTTGTTTCACTAGTTAAGGCTATTGTCTGTACTAGAGATAGTGATACAAATCAATAAAAATTTTTCAATCGATTAGTTGATAGATCATTTTATCCAACTAATTGATTAATCGGTTTTTATTTAACTAATCAATTAGTTAGCCAATTGATTAATCGATTAATCAATTAATCGACTAATCGATTAATCAATTAGTTAACTAATCGATTGACCACTAATTGATTAGTTGAATAAATAATAAATGAAACTTAGTAAGATAGCAACTGAAACAGCTGGTTGATATTCTTATATAATCGGTTGATTTAATCGACCAATCGACTAGTCAGTTAATTGACCAATCGATTAATCGATTAGTTAGCCAATCGATTAATCAATTAGTCGACTAATCAATTAATCAACTAAGTTGGGTCTATAAAATTCAAATCGATTAGTTGTCAACTTTACAACTAATCGATTAATTCGATTTTTGATTTGTATCACTAACTAGAGAGTTATATCAAGCTAGCCTAAAAAACTATCATAAGATGAAAGAATTTTTTATTAAATTATATTGACAATTTTCTCTTTTTAGACTATTATCCTTTTTAAAACAAAGTTCTAAATCTAATTTTTTAATAATAAACAAAATAACTTTCTTTTTCAATACAGGGTTATTGTCAAGATTCTTTTGTTTGTATTTGTATTTCCTTTTCCTTTTCTTCTAATTTAACCTGTTCTTTTCAATTAAAGACTCGGTTCTTGAAAGTCTTCTTATATCCTTTTTTATAATCTTTTCTTTCTGTTTTATGGCTTTGTATTTTCTTTTTTCTTCTTAAAGGCTTGTTCTATAAGTTTCTTTCAATAATATTCTTTTGTATATTCTCTCTTCCTCAGAGTATCTTGAGTCTTCTTTTGGTTTTTTCATTTCTAGGTCTTGGTTAGTTTGCTCAAGTTCTCTTTTTTCTGTGTTCTGGAAATAAGAGTTTTCTTCTTGTTATTTTTTGGTCTTTTTTCTCTTCTTTTTTTTTCTAGAACTTGGTCTTCTTCTCAGAAATTTTTCTTGTATTTCATTAAAGATCTCTTGATTTTGAAATGTCTTACAAAATCTTTTCTAATATCCTTAATAATGTATTTTTTTTTCTTTTTTCAATTTTTGATACTTTTAGCCTAGATGCTAATGTGCTTTGAGACAAATTTGTATCCAAGTTCTATTGGGACTTTAGCTCATATATCCATTTTGCAAGTAAATCTTTTTTCTTCTTTTTCCATATTTTATTATTATACTATAAATCTTTAATGCTTATTTGGTATATTATTTCTGTTAACTATTCTTCTGAAGTTGTTAATACAATTTTTAGTTTTGATTCCTCTTGAATCTTATTTAGTATTTTTGCTTCTATGAGATCTGGGATATCTTGTCTCTTGTTTTTTTTCTCTGATTTTTCTTTTTTTTCTTTTTTGGTATGCTGAGGTGAATTCAACAAATACTTTAAACTGTATTACTAAAGTTCTTAATTTTGATTTATTATACTGCCTTTGTCAGATTTTTCTTTGTTCTTGAAGTTTCTTGTTTCAATCTAAGTTCAATTTTAATTTTATTTTAGCAGCTTGCTTTTCTTTTTATCAAACTTGCAACTTTTTTTTTTTTTTTTACCTTTTCTTCTTGTTTCTTATTAGTTTGTTGTAGTAGTCTTGACAGATTCTTTGAATTGATGTACTGTAAACTTTAGGGTTGCTTTGTTGTGCTGTCTTTGTCAGATTTTTTTTTGTTCTTGGAGTTTTCTGCTTTAACCTACTTCTAGTTTCAACTTTAATTCAGCATGTTGTTTTTCTCTTTCTTTTAATAGTCTTCTAATTCAATCAGCTATTCTTAATTCTACTATGTAACTAACTATTACTTTTATTATAATACAATTAACTAGGTCTTTTTCTTTTATATTGCTTCATGAAAAACCTCATATTCTCTTTCTATAAATGCAAGTTTTGTATATTCTAGTTCTCCTATATTATAATACTATAATTCTTCGTAAAGCTCTACTATTCACTCTGTAGCTATTTCTTCAGAATAAGTTCTTGCCCAGCATATTCTGCTATTATTTCTTCTACTTGTATATTTATTATTTTGTCAGTTATTGCTATTGTCATATCCTGAATATCTGCTATTACTCCTTTATATCTTCTGGTATACCAGAGTTAATATAACCTTATCTGTATATTTCTATATCTTTATGTAGTTCTTTTAATTTTATCTTTGCTACTTCTGCTATGATAGGTCTTTTTTCAGAACATTTTGTTAATTTTTGCTTCACATGACTTGTTGTTTTTCGACTATTATTGTTTGTTGTTATTGTTTGTTGTAGTTGTTTATCTTTGTTATATAGTTTTTGTCATGTTTTTTTGCTTATTTTTCATTATGTATTGTGATTCTTGTATTATCAAAACAGATCTATGATTCAGTGTCAAGGCTGATTTTCCCAAAGTTCACAAAGTGTAAAAAAATATCAACAATTTTTCACAACTTCTATTTTTTTGCCACTTCTGCTTTTTTTACTCAAGTTTCTTAAGAAATATCTAGTTTCTTGTTATTCTCTTTCTCTTTACTTAAGGCTTTGAGATTAGTTTTTTAGTGATTATTGTATATTTTTGTAGTTTTTTTATTAATTTTTGTTTTTAGAATTTTGTGTTTTGATGATTAGCAGAAAGAGTTTTTTTATTTACTTTATTAATACTTAATTTTCTATATAATTTTTTATATTTTTTTAATTTTTTTTTATTACAATGCAGAAATTCTTAAATTAGTAACCAAAAACTAATAATTTTTTAAACTTTTATAAAAAATAAAACATATAATTAAAAGAAAAAATTTTTTATAGAAATATACAAACAAACAAGCAGAACAAATCTATAGAGTTTATTTTTTAATATAGCAAAATTTTATAATTTTATTTCTTTTTAAAGTTACTAATAAAATCAAAATTTGGCTGTATATATATAAAAAACATAAAATTTAAAAATATAATAAAATTTTAAAAAAATATAAAAAAATTTTAAGATATTAGCTAATCAAAATTTAGTATTTGTTCTCAAATTTGACTACCTTTAAAAAAAGTTGTTGGTTTAAGGATTTTTGTACTGTATCTATTTTTTTTCTTTTTGTTAGTAGTTTGATTTTGTGTTTAAGTTTTTTTTAGCTTATTTAGTTTTTGAATCTTGTTTTATTTTTTTTCTAATAGATCCAAGCTTGCTTTTCTTTTTTTGTCTTAAGTTTTTTTTTTTTTCTTTTTTTCTATCTTGGCTTTTGTTTCTTCTTTTTTTTTAATTTCAATTTTATTAAAACTTGTTCTTTTTATTTCTAATATTAGAGCTATAATCTGGTTTATTACCTTCTAGATTAAGCTATTGTCATATAAATTTTAAATTTTTATTATATTTCATAGACTAAATCTTGGTGCATAGTTTCTAGTTTATGTTTTTGTTTAAGTTTTTTAATAATTATTCTTGTTATTGTATTTTTTTTTTTAGTTGTCTTTAATATTTTTTTTTTG